CACAGACACCCATATCCACACCCTCAGTGTTCTATTTTCAAAAGATTGAATTGAGACAAGTCACTCATGACACAATGTTTCAAAAAGATAGATTGATTCTTTTCTTTTTATTTAATATGAAATGATTAAAAATATATTGTAAAAAAATTATATTGCACCACATATTACTGCAAAGGAAAAGAATTCCTCTTGATTTTACGCAATTAAAAATGTTAGGAATATCATTTTATTTTCACCCCCGCGCATTAATTTGTTTTGCAGGATTTTCTGTCTCCTACATTGTACAAGCTTTACTATTGTTGTAATTGATTTACATAGAACTTAAGAATTATGCTAGAATAGTCATAAAGTAAATTTTAACTTCATTCTATAACAACAACTATTCACTAATTTTATTCATATGTTTTCAATTGTGCTCTGGTTATATTTCTAAATCTGAACTGGTATATTTTTATTTTCGAGCTTACCTAGTGCTCATAAATATACTTCTACGATATCATCCAAAATCGATAGGACATCTTGTTGTTTCATTTTATAATCTCAAATAAAGTTTCGTTCTAAAATTTTATTTATTTAACATCTTATGATATTGAACTTTTCTAAGACTTAGACAAAATAAAGAATTTTGTCTAGTGAAAAATTATTCTTCAAAATAAACAAACCAGAAATGTTTTTTAGTCATATTCAATCTCTTCAAATTTGACTGATGTCATTCAAGTAGTACTTAAAGCGAAAGAATCAGTTTAAAATAAACAATTTATGCACAACATTATACTATCTAACAAGATTTTATTACTATTATTCGGGTGCTAGCGCTACGAGTCGTGGTAGATAGATCGAGAATCATAGTAATGATGCCTCTTACTTGTCTCGTTTGGGTGTAACTCATCAGTTTTCTTTACCTACAAACGATTATCTTATTAGTTAATGCGCAAGTCATATTGAGCCTGAAACTAAAATAGGTAACGAAGTAAACAATCAAACATATGATTTATCTTCGTGTCGTACTTTTTTATTCTCAATCTTTGATGGTTCTATTGCGACTTGCAATAGATAGTATACTAATTCAAAACTCATTTTATTTCTAATATTGAGCTATTGTTATTGCTTTTTAATGATGACATTTTTATTTTTGTAGAAGGGATTTGATTTACAAGCCGAAAGTTTACTTCGTTTCTATGCCACAAACTGGGAACGTTATCGATTTTCAAGTAAAGTAACAAATGCTTTTTGCCATTATCTAAATCGACATTGGGTATGACGAATGTATGATTCAGGAAGAAGAGATGTTTATGAAATTGTCACAGTAAGTAAAGTTATATTCTTTATCTTTTCAAATTAATTATAAAACTAACATAAGTTTAATGGCGATGGAAATTTGGCACCTTGTTTTCTTTCAACCATTGCAAAATCAAGTAACATTAGCATGTCATCAATTAATCAATGCCGAACGTCAAAATGAAATGATTAATACTCGACTTATTCGTGCAGTTCTAGAAAGTTATAGTAAACATCTAGATTCTTTTTTGTTTTTCTTGAAATTTATGTCGAAAATTTTAGTCGAACTTGGCTTCGAGGAAAGTTCATGTGTACCAAATAATAGTGATCAAATAACATCCCAAACATTGAAAATTTATAAAGCTTACTTTGAAGTACCATGTCTTCAATATACAGAACAATTTTATCGTCAAGAAACAGCTAATTTTGTTGTTCACAATTCTATGTCTGAATACTTGAACAAAGTTTGTATTTATTTATAATAATGATACAACTTATTTTATGTTAATTTTAATAGGTATCACGATGGATTGATGAAGAATAGGCGTGTAACATCAGAAAGTTAGCCTAGACTATCTTGGGAACGGTTGAACGTTTCAAGCTTTCCTTTGGTTTATAAGGGTTTTTCAACGTGCTCTTTCTTTTTGTCTCGAGGAAGTTTTCTCCAAACTGCTCAGAAGATGGGTTTCTATAAAACCGAGGTTTTTGAGCTATAGATGTTGAAAAAAATGAGTTTTAGAAAAAAATGAGCGCTAGAGCAATTTTTTGAATATCATATTCGGATTCAACATCGAAGGACTAACATTTAAAAAAAAATTAAGTCTGTAACGCAAAATTCAAATTTATAAATTGAGTTGCAAGTTTTTAGAAGCTCAACACAGATAGGTGATAGAAAGCTGATTCAAGCATCATTCGATAGAGAATTCAAAACTGAACAAACGTAGGGGTTTGGCAATTTTCACATATCATGTAATTATGGTTTTCTAGGGATCTCTAAAAAACCTGTTCTCTAATTTTACTGAAGTTTTAACTTTTTTCTGTTTCAAACTTTGTTATTGAACTTTTTATAGTTTCTAGAATTAGAAATTAATTAAAATATCATAGTTCAACACTCAGCTTGCTTTTAACATCCGTCTGGACGTGTTTTAGTCCATTGTGGCACGCCCACACCCACACCCCACAACCAGCCACACAACCACACCCACATGCACACACCTACACCCACACCCTCACCAGGGAAGTTTCATGATGGTATATTTAACATGAAGCTGATAATGACAGTTACACTTCAAATCAAAGAAATTATTCGTACCAAGGAATTAACGTAGTTAAAATATTATTGTACTGCTTACTGATGCATCGATTTTATTGGTATTTTTTTTTCCTTTTCCATTTGAATTTATGTCGTACAACACTTAATTTAACAATCATAGATTATCTGTTAAAGTTAAGAGACAGCCGACAGATAAGATGATAAAGAGTCGATGTTTGCTCTTATTTGTTAAATATTCTTCAATAACAACAGGATCATTCAACGATGTGAATGACAGCATTAACACAATGAGTTGATAAAACTTCACACTTTACGTAAAAAAATGAATACCTGAATTGTAGTGTTGGCACCCATTGTTATCAAGTAATCAATATTTTATTCTTGTAATATGACATTGACAAAATGCACATTGTAAAAAAGAACGCATGTCGTGCTTACTTGTCATGATTGGCAATTTTTAACAGATTTTTTCGATCCCATCATGTAAAGCTTTTATAAAGCTATCAATAAACCGAAACAAGTAAGAATACAAGCGATGTCGATGAATTATATCTCATTGTTAACGACTTTTTTGTATGTGTAAATTTACCAACGATTTTAAAGTGATTTAACTTATTTTTGAAGCTTTTTTTTTTAGGTTGATAGGTAAATAATAATATTCATTTCTCTTTATTTTACATACAGCTTGCCTATGTGATTATATAGTTCGAATTGAATGTCAAACATGTCAAGGTACTTTACCATATGATTCATGTTCGTCAAATGCAGCATGTGGTTGTCTTCGTCTAGCATCTAATAATGATAATAGTAGTATATGTGCTTATCTTTCTTTGAGTTGTTCTAAATTGATTTCATGTGCTCCTAACAACCAAACGTGTTATCAACCGAGACATGTTTGTGTGGAACATCCACGATGTCAAAATCGTCCTCTATGTTATCCAATTGATATGACTACTAGAGAAATATGTCCTCTTGTACTACCAACAACAACAGGAGCAAGTAAGAAAAGAAAACTGATGAATGTATAATGTTTGACTATTGATCGTGTTAGCTACACCAATGATACCTGATGATGGTATATGTGCTAGTGCAAAATGGAATCCTAATGGAACTACTGTTATCGGAGGAAAAGGTTCAGGATCCGCGTTAGATCAACTTTATTTTCCATCGCATATAATTGTTGACCGTGATTCAAACGTCTATATCACGGACAGTTTCAATCACCGAATCGTCAAATGGGCGTTGAATCGTTCCGATATATTGTGTTCGATTTTTAAAAGTATTTTCTCTATTTGTTAAAATTATAGTTTCTGTTATATATGAATATTCTATGCCTGGTACTTCTAGTGGTCAGGTAGTTGCTGGTGGTAATGGACCCGGCAATGGCACTCATCAACTTGCGTATCCGGAAGGTTTTGCTATTGATAAAAATGGAAGTCTCTTTATTTGTGATCCAGGAAATAGACGTGTTCAAAGATGGTATAACAATGATGATCATGGAACTACAATCATGTTTGATACTCATTGTTGGGGAATTGTGATTGATGATGAAGGATTAGTGTATATTTCTGACTCAGTTGATTACCATCGTGTAATAACATGGCCCGATGGTAGAACAGTCGCAGGTGGAAACGGAGAAGGAAATGCATTGAATCAATTATCGAATCCCTATCTGATATTTGTTGATCATAATCGATCGGTTTTCGTTGCTGATGGAGGCAACCACCGTGTAATGAAATGGTCCGCCGGAGCCACTGAAGGTTTAATTGTTGCAGGCGGAAATGGAGCAGGACATGAACTCAATCAGTTAGGTGAACCTTCCTCGGTTATTGTTGATCGAATGGGTACACTTTATATAGGTGAAGCTTTTAATGCGAGAATTACACGTTGGTTCAAAGGAAGTAAAGAGGGTATTGTTATTGTTGGTGGACGTGGTGAGGGTAATCATGCAGATCAGATAACAAAACAATGTGATATGGCATTTGATCGTGATGGAAACTTATGGGTAGCCGATTATTTTAATCATCGTATACAATTTTTTGCGATAGACAAAAGTTCTTGCAAATCACGTAAGTACACAGTTCCTTTTCTGATCAATGAATCTATCATTATTGTCACATTTTAGCTTAAATCGACAAATCAATCTCAATATGTAACACATGACATGTTAAATATTGTATGCGAGATTTGCGGATTTTATTAATGAAATATAGCTTCTGAGGAAATTAATTCAAACAAGAAATTAAACAGTAACTCCGAGGCATTAACGTACTAAGTCTAGAATGTATTGGCAAAATAAACCTTACTTATATTTACTTACATATATTCAAGTGTGGACTTACTTTCAACCAAAGTAGAGTCATTAAAATTCAAGAGTAGCGCATAAAATATTCAGTAAAATTGAAAAAAGATGATTTAGCCATTTCATTACTTTGCTCCTTTCATTACAATCATCACTCTACGTGCTGAAAGTGTTTCAATTTTATCGATAATACTTGATGCCATCGAAATAAGCTGTTATTGATCATGGTTAATCTGAATCGATATAAAATCAAAAATACATAAAAGAATTCTTGTATATTTGAACGTTAAATCAATATTCCTTCGTACATTTGCTATGCAAGTTGTTTTTTCTTACAGGAAATAACTGAAAATTGGGTGTGGGGTGTGGGTGTAGATATTCTCATCACATCGGCACTCATACCCACATCCAATGGCAGATTTCATCTTCATTCAATCTTGAGCTGCTTTACAACGAATAACAATAAGATGGATTGAAAAAGTTCTTCTTGCTGTTATCACACGCTATGTTGACTGAAGAAATGGCAATTAAAAACAAAGCAAGAAAGAGTTCTGCGATATGAGACACATTGAAGAACAGAATAACCGTCGAAAGAAAAGAAAGAAAAAAAGCAATGAACAGAAAAGGTGAGCTATACAACAAGTAAACGCAATAAAACATGAATAGTAGTTAGTAAACGCTGATAACAGTTACATTTTTTCATAAGAAACTAAAAAGCAGCAGAAAAATACTGCAGCACAAGTAAGTATATTGAAGTGTTAGAAGATCGCTGTGCTACTGCAAACTAGAGAGCTAAATCTAAATGTAATTAAGCGGAGGATCAGTATCAACTGAAACGTATATCTGACGTTAAATTTGAGCCTGGAAAATTCTTGCTACCAATCAAAGGTTACCCGCATCAAAGAAGATGTGATATTAGTCTTACTTCAGAATTAGAAGCTTCTGATTGCCGATCCCATAAGCGTATACAGTTGGAGTGTGGGCGGGTGTGAGGGTGTGGGTGTGGGTCGGTGTGGGGTGTGGATATGGGGTATGAATAAAAGAAGGACCCGCACCCGTGTCTACGCTCACACCCACACCCACACCGACACACACCCACACACACGCCAACACCACCCACCCCACACACCCACACCCACCCACACCTACACCCGCACCCATACCCCCACCCGCACCCACACCCACACCCCACCCACACCCACACCCACACCCACCCACACACCCATATAGGAATTATTTATATTTGATTGAATTGATGATATTGTTTTATATGATAAAATACCTTTTAATTCAATATCATTCCATAATGAGGATTTTGTTGAAAAAGCCATTGATGATAAAATATTTTCTTCAATTGATGATAAATATTTAATAAATGATTTTGATTTGCTTATTTGTGTACAAGTTTTTAAAAAAATTGTATGATTCTTAAAAAGCAATACCCATCTAATGAATAAACATATAATATCCAATTAAAATCATCATATTTATCCGAATGAGCATATAATACTAATAATAAACATAAACCAAGAAGAGATCGAATAATTTCATTATTTAATATTAATTTACTAAAATAAATCAATTTCTTTATTTATCCATTTAAAAGAAAAATCGTTTATTGAAATGATTATTGAATTTGTTGTGAATTAAATTCATTTGAAATTAATCTGCTTTTTTCAATAGTTAAGATATTTTCAATAGAATAATAAAATAATTTTAATGACAAATCAAAACGTGATTTACATGATCGAGATGGATTTTCTTCTCGACTTATTTTATTAACATTTTCTATTAAATCATATTGACTATTAAATGAATATTCACATTCATTTAAACGTTCAACAAGATCATCTAAAGTTTTAAAAAACAAATTTTATTTTATTCTTTTTATCAAATCGAACATTATTTCTCTAACTAACACATTTTTAAATAATATATTATATTAATTAACTAAATAACTCTAATTTTCATATTTCTTATTATTTTCGTTTTATTCTCATGAAAAAATCAATTTAATTATCTCTATTATCTTTATTTTAATTAAAATAAAATTCATTTTTATATATCTAACTGATTACTATTAAAAAAATGTTCGATAAAATAAAATCGTATATATATATATATCGAATATTATTTTAAGTTAAGAAAATGTTCAAAATAAAAAACTCATCGTAAATCAACTGGATTCGATTTAAAATATTGCGAAATGAAAATAATATTTTAATCGAGAGAAAATATTTATTTTATTCAACGATTTGTTTCATAATAAAAGAAAACAAAAAATAATCTTAAAAAAGTTAAAATCTAAGTTAGTTTTTTTTTAAAAGTCTTTATTTAATTATTGATAAAATTTTAAATCTTATATATCATTCAACGATCATTTTAAATAAATGTCAATATCATACAGATATTTAATTCAATGTATTGTCATTTAACGAGAAAACATCTTTAACCGGAAACAAAAATTCCTTTCTTAATTTAATTATTTTTTTTTTTATAAAAAAAATACTTAAAAAAAAAAGAATGTCTGATATAAATATAAATAAATATTTATTTGTTTAAGTTAATAAAAAAAAGATAGTGATGATAATTGTCTCTGTCTAAAATATAAATCTGAGAATATTTTTATTAATCGAAATAATAAAAATCTAAAATCGATTAATTGAAAAATCTTTTAATGAGTTCATTTATTTACCTCTGATTATCGATCGTCACGAAAATCATCTATCGAATTTATCTCTCGATTTCTAATAGAATTTCTTTGTCTTGTAAGTCTTTTGTTAATTTTAATGCAAACTATTTATTTCATTTACATTTAATTCCATTCTATAATATCAATTCTATATCAATCAACTCTCAACACACAACTATTATTGAAATATAGTTCAAATCTGATTGTCTCTTTCCTATACAAATCAATATGAGTAAAACAAGTCTGCCGGTTCTTATCATAGATTCTAATGTAACATTTAGCTAAGAACCGTTTGTGTTGTCATCAGTCTCCTCGGCCTATTACCGAAAGTAAACTAATCATAGTTGACTTCTAGCTAGTCGCTGCTACACTGATCAAAAAGGTGACATTGACAAATTGAAATAGGTTTCGAATTAGTTTCAATTGTCGAAAGGCTTTTTATTTTCAATGTATGAACGGGAAAAAACGCAAAAGATAAAGTTAAAAGTTCGACTAAGAAAATCTTATGATGAAAAAACATGATGAAAGTTTGAGAAAGAAAAACAAATTTATTTTATGTTCGATTTGATAAAAAAAGAAAAAGAAAAAGATTTAATCTAAAAAAGTTTGTTGTTGTTGAACAATTGAATATAATAATTTAATTAATAGATTAGCTTGATATATGGATGTTAAATATTGATTAAAAGAAATTGTTTGATAATCATTCGATGTAATATGTTGATTTGCTGTTAATGGTGTTAGATTTTGAGAAGATTTTGAATATCGGTATTCATTTAATGAATTACATAAGTCATTTAGTTGAAATTTATTTTCTAAAAAAATTCTTTCATCAATTATAGAATTTGTTAAAACAATTTCATCATATTGACGATTTATATCACGAATTGTTTCTAAGTAATTAAATTCATTTTAAAAATCTTCTTTTTTTTTATCAAGACGTTTAAATAAATCATTTTTTAAATGTTGTTCGATTATTTATCGACACATATCCGATGAACAGCAATACATCATACATAATTTATCGATTATACTTCCATCATTTGAACATAAGTCATTTAAACAACAACCTTAACAAAAAAAACAACACTTTTCTTTTTTGTTTTTTTATCTTTTTATTCAATTTATTAGATTTAGTTTAATTAAATTATTTCGATTATTATATATTTATTCGTTTTGAATAAATAATTCAAATTAGTTTGATGTTGTTGACAACAAATATCGATTTCTAACATAATAAACAACTCGAACAATAGATATTCGATTTATGAAACTCTACAGTTGATCTATCATCGTTTCAACAAAACATTTTCCATAGTTTAATTAAGAAAAAACAAGTAGAATAGGTTGAATAACTAGTTTAATATGATGAAATATTATGTCTAATATGAATATATATCCTTATATTTAATTTTATTGAATAAATTAAAATAAATCGTTTATCATAGATATATATATATATCTTACCAAATAAAATAAATATTTAAATTGCTCATCTATTAAACAATGAATATAATTGATGAAAATTCTCAGAAGATTTAATAGATATTTATATTTCTATTGTATATCAAGAATATATATTTATATATGAATATAATCAGTATTTGTAAATCTTATTTATAATTATATTATTTATAAATGATTATTAATCGATTGTTCATAGTTATAACTATAATATCGTTTAAACGATTAAATTGTTAAACATGATTTGAAATAATCATTAATCATATTCGATTATTTACGTTTTCATCGATTAATAATCATATTGACAAGAAAATAGGTTTTTTTTCTAAGTTATCGATATATATATATATATTCGATAAAAAAATATTTGAAATGATTTTTATTTAATAATACATTGATTAATCTCAAAATATTTAATTTAATTTAATTCTATATCGAACAATCGAAAATTGAATTTGTTTCAGATCTTATCTCAAAGACTTTTAAATAAAAATCCATATTATGAAATAGATTTTTATTTTAAAGATTTCCAACGAGTTTTGAAAAGTAAATTATCTTTTATATAGAAAATAAAACGTTTAAAGTTTAAATAAAATAAACAAAAAAAATCTATTAAGAAATCTTCATTTGATAAGAAGTGAAAAAGAAAATTTTTAATTGAAAAAAACGAAAATAAAAAATGATATGTTAATAATAAAGTCGATTAAAATGATATATATAAATAAAATCTTCTAATAGAGTGTTACCTTTAAGTATATAATCTAATTTGGCTAATTTGACATAATCATAAATAAAAGAAAAAACTAGAAATAAGTAAATGAAATGAAGCAATAAGATCATTGATAGTTGATGGATAAATTGTTTTAGCTAATGCATATATTGTCCATATAAGTGAATATAAATCTTAGTGTGAACATTTATTTAATTTATTTTTTGTATTTAGTTTAGGATTTATTTGATTTCATGTTCTTTTATATTGATAATCAGAATAAATAAATTTATATTGATTTCCACCAAATATTTCAATAAATATTTTTGTATATTTTTCAAATATAATTGATGATATATTAAAAACATGTTCCACATTTGATCGATTTTTGATCGAATTGAATCAGGTAAATTGGACATATCTTCACATTTATGTAATTTATCAAAAAAAAAACAAATAATTCTAAATGATTAGCATTTTTTAATAAACGTGATATTGATATTGGATTACTCTGATTTGTTGTTAGATGTTTATATTTTCTACATGATACATATAATGAAACAGCTAACCAATGTAATTGATCACCTTCTAAAACATAATGTTTATGAATATGTTCATATGAACGCCATGCATCTAACTTTGTTTTCATATCCATAGGGCGGATGTGGGTGGGTGTCGGTGTCGGTGTCGGTGTGAGTATTCCTTGCCTCTACACTTACACCGACACCCACACCCACCTACTCCACCCAAAATATTTTTTTTCAATCGAATCAAAATAAAAAGACTAGTGACATTTCACCGACTAAAATAAGGATATTAAATGGTGTTACATTCACTGGAGGACGTAAATGAATTAAAAAGTAATACAAAAAACATTAATTACAAAATAATTCAAAATTAATATCACATCAGGGTCTGGATTTAGTGCCCGCTAAACCACTTACATCGCGTCAGTCTCCCAATTTGAGTACAGCAAAACCTCGATAGACTCTACTAGATCCTGTTGTTTTACTGATTTCTTTTAATTATTGTGTAAATAATGCTTTTTGAATTACTATATATTTCATTTACGTGATGGTCTCGTTCCATTTTCAGAATTTTCTGAAACGATTTTCATTTACATAGAATTCAAAGAGTTAGTTAAACCCAGGTTACCTGGCGGTGGAGGGTGAGGCATAAAAGTGCAAAAAAACACACCCACACAATAGTTAAGAATAGAATTTAATTGTTCTTTACAGTCTATGTGATGTTCGTTCTCATAAAGCATTGACTCCGAGTATATCATTCGACTATTATCCTCCGTCATGGTTTTAATAGTATCTTCATAGCACCAGTGAAACGATATTTCATTTGTTTCATTACTATTTTAACTTAATTTTGTGCGTCTTACACCATTCTTTTGCATACGACTTTAAGTGTCCAGTGATTCCTGGTGGTTTAAATCGTCCATTACAATTTGAACATGAATAATAACCTTCCTTTATCCGTTTGTTCTTTATATTTCATCACTATGTTTTTGATGTTTGAATGAACAGAAGTAACCTGTAGATTTCGATTAATTAATTGTGTACAATAATCTCTGTTTCTAGTGTCCCTTCTCCAGTTTTTAATACCAAAATTCTCGATATCTTTCAGTATTTTGTTCTCTCAACGTTTGCTGATACCAACATTTTGAGGATGTTTGCTACCAGGAAAGTATGAAAACGTGACTGTTGTCATATTCCCTTCTGTTTACATGACCAAACCATCTTAAAAGATTTCTTCTCATAATGTCTTGAATTGTAGGTTGACCAGATAATTTCAAAATTTTAACATTTGATACGCAATCACTGAGATTTAAACCAAGTATTGTGCTTAAACATTTCATATAAAAACTACTTATTCTGTTTTCTTGAGCAACTGTCAAGGTCTATACCTCACTATCATATAAAAGAACAGGAAGTACGCAGGCTCGCAAAATGCGTAATTTGGCATTGATAGAGATTGCTGTTCTATACCAAATAACATTTCTAAACATGCTGAATGCTATTGTTGCTTTTGTTAATCTAGATTCTATTTTCT